AAACATACATGAATTGATTATTTTTTTACGCAATATATACGCAAAAAAAGAGGACAATCGATTAAATTAAGGTATATTTTTCCAAAGTCGACTATATATATTTAACATATACTAATCATATATTGTACATATATCACAACGCAGCACAAACGATAGAGGTGCGACCGATCTTTTTCATAAGAAAAGTTACGCAAATATACCCAAAAAAGAGTTGACAGGTCGATGATGCTGAACCTATGATCCAGAGCTTCAGATTTATCCTCATGCCCACTGAGGAGCACGGTCAGGTCCTCGCAACTCAGCCGCTTCACGCCTATCGAGATCCCAAATATCCTAGGGCACATTCCCTCCTCCGCCGCGCCCTGTGTCTTCGGCGATTTTACCGACACCCTCCCATCCTCGCCCGGATTCGCTGCGTAGCTAGACATCAGACTGCATATATTACCGCAAGAGGCCCCTCAGCCCATTCAATTCCTCGCTCGCCTGCGAATTCTCTCTCCTGAGCCTCTCGTTCTCGTCCAGTATCTCCGGCGACCTGAAGTTCTCTGCTTGGCTAGTAGAAGGACGAATTACGAAGGCGATAGTAACTCCCCAAAAGAAAGAGAGAGTTAATTTCTTGATATTATGGATCAGTTATAAATATATCCCTCTTTCTATATTTATTCTCTATATTATATAAAATTAAAAATCTTGTATATGTGCAAATAAGTATGGTAGAGTTGCAAATAAATATTTATTAGGTGTATAAATGTAATATAAAGTATATTGATTGGTAGGTGGTACAAATATCTCTTTGTTTGATGGCTTTTTTGCCTCAAAAGAGCTTGTTGAGCTATTTAGTTGTTTGACTTTTTAGAATCAACTGAAAAAAGTGTTTGGTAAACATCTTTTACAATTAGTTTTTTTAGCACAATATGCTAAAATGAAAAACACTATGTTTCCTAGCGTTTGATTTCAGCGGTATGAGATAAAAAAAAATAATTAAAAGTCTTAAAATTGCCCTTATTTATTATTATGTTTAGTCCACACAATGGGACATAAATCAAAACCGGTTAAAATAGTGACTCATAATTTTTTATTCAAACCTATATCAATAAAATTTATATCACGTTTTTTATATTTTAAAAATATAAGTAATATTTAGTTTTTCAAAATTATAATTAATGTGACATAAGAAAAATATTTAAATATATAAATGTCATTCCAGCTAATTCCGATATAATACTTAACAACTAATTTTACCAACTATTGTTCTAAAATTTTAAAAATATATAATTTTAGTTACTTAAATGTAAATGGAAACTTTTAGAAATTGTTCATGTAAATTTTAGTTACTCAGATTTTTTTGTACTTTTTTTTTTCAATTGTAATGAGACATATTGAAATTGGCTCACATTTATTTATTTATTTTAAACAGTAATGACATGTTATTAGCTATGTTAATATGACGTGAACTTACTTACTCAATTAAGAAATATTTTCATCTTATTATTATTTACATTTTATTATATTTAAAATTACTTTAATAAATATCTAAAATATTAATTATTTTTATTTTCTAAATAATTATAAGTTCAACATAAATAAGAATGATAAATTATGATGATGTCCTTATAAGTAAATTTCATGTTAACAACTATTTAAAATAACTAATTTTACCAAATACTTTTTTACAAACCGCTAATACAATCATTTAGTCAAAACAGCCAACCCAATCCGCTGGTCAAAACAACTAATGCAATTAGCTAACAGCTATCAACTAACCGTTGATTACGAAATAAGTTCTTGATAATGTCATTGAAAGAAATTACATAGTTTATGCTATAGGCTTATATACATTGGTGCAATGTAAATTTTATGCCTAATTAGTCTTTTTGATTCAATCAAAATTGTTATTACATTCAAAATACAGTGTTCATTGCTGCAAAAACTTGAAAATATCATCTTAGACTGATTTGGCTGGTATGAGTATGACTATATTTTTAAGCTTTATATTTTTTCTGTCTGTTATTAAATTTTTATATATGATATAATATTTGATTTAACATTCATATTTAGACATATGTTATTTAAATAACTTTTATGTATCAAGCCAATAAGATATAAATTGTAAAATTATTTATAATACATTATCAATGTCATTTAAATAAAAATAAAAATATAATTATTAAAAACTATTTCAAAATTTAATATAAACATCTATTTTCTTACTTTTTTTGATTATAGAATTTTCAGTTAATTACACGAGTGTTGTATAATATTTTGACCAACAACAGACTTAATCAGACTTCACAGTGGTAAAAAAATACATGAAAGACTGGAAGTGATCACTCAAAGACATTTGACTTGAAAAATTTATCACTATTTTACCAGGTAAAAGAGTTCTCACCTTCTTGGGAAGGTGAGAGGGAGTGGCTTCTCTATTACCTGACCTAGCTTATGAAAATCTTGATTTTAGAGCCCCATTTTTGGGTAGAAAGAGTCAGCAAAATCAGCATCAACACCTATACCATTAATGCTGAGCATTAAAAAAAAAATGTGAACTTTGAAGATTGAGACAAAAGAAAAAGAGTGAGAGACAAAAACCCGCTCGAAGAAGAAGATGTTCTCTGTTGAATCTTGATTGTTTGCGAAGACCCTTTTGATGGGCTGAGTGTTTATAATCCCTCAATCTAGATTTGCTTATGTTTTTCCACTGATTCTAATAATGAGGTATTTATATAATTGCAATATGCTCGATCCCTTTTTACTTTTGTCACTCATCATTGTTGTAATCTCTCTCTTTTTTCTGGGTTTTGTGTGTGTGTGTGTGTGTGTTTTTTTTAATTATTAGATCCATGTCATCATCTTTCTCGTAATATTTTGCTTACTCTATTTTGTGCAGTACAAATTACAGCTGGGGAATTTGTGTTCTTTTGCTTTTTGTTCGTTTTTGTTTGTTTTCTTGTTTTTTGGGTGATTCAAAGAGTTTCTTATGTCTAATTGCATGTTGTTTTTCCCATTTGAAGTTCGAATTTTGATTTGTTATTCCAATAGAGTGTGCTTATGGCTTTAGTTTAAACTAAAAATCAATGTGAAGATGCTAATGATTGTTGTCATATGTTTGACTTGCCTTTTAATCTTTATCCTTGTAATTCTCCTAGGCAGCATTGGTTTTCTGTCACTAGTCTTTTGCTGTATCTTTGCTTTTAAGTTGTGCATTGACTACATTTTTTAGTTGCACATCTCTTTAGGCCATTTGTTCTCCAAAGTTGAGGTCTTTATCGTTGGTATTAATCATTTCAGACCTAATATTCCAATCCCATTTTGTGTCGGACGATTGCATTGATGATTATTGCCCGATATAAACCGTCACATAGTTAGAAAAAAAGTAACCAATGGGTGGGCTTTGCTCGAGAAGGTCCACTGACGACTCTGCATTGTCTGATGCACTTTCACATGTCAATGGCCGATTGAGCTACGGCTCTGGAATTATTTTTCAGTCTCGTGTATTGAACAAGAAAGAAGATAATAATAATACACCTGCTGACGTGGAAATCAGTGATAGGGAATCAAGAGAGCCATTCTCCTTCCCTGTGAACTTTGACGACTTTAATGATGGTATACCTCGTCTGTCGAGGGCATTATCCGATAAATCTCGATCGGCGAGATCGAAGCAAGCCGCAATTGCTAAGGTATGTCGTTTATGCGTACTATTTCTTGGGAAATTTTTCAGATTCCAAAATCTTGAGAGTGGTTTTAATTTTTCCTATTGTGAATTAACAGGATCTGTTTGCTGCTGTTGTTTTATTTTCTTTTTCTGTTTTTGTTCTTAATTTCTGTTAGTATAATATTAAATGAGACGGTTAACACAGACACAAGTATTTGTTAGGTTCCTTTTGCTCTCTATAAATGCATATATATATATATATATATATATTTTTTTTTTTAAATGCATGTTCGGAGATTATAATTTCCTTCTATATTTCTGTGTTCAATGTTACATATAAAATGTCATGCGCATTTTGTGTGGACGATATAGAACAACCAATTCTTGAGCACCAAAAAATTATATCCGGAGTTTATTATCGAAGGTTTTTTTTTTGAGAAACTAGATATTATCTTGCTCTAATTCACAGGTCTCAGAGGTGAGTTCGATTTTGGGCCGAGCAGGCACAGTTGGCCTCGGCAAAGCAGTTGATGTGCTGGACACACTTGGTAGTAGCATGACTAATTTGAACCTTAGCGGTGGTTTTGCATCCGGGATAACTACTAAGGGTATCGCAATCTCGATTCTGGCATTTGAGGTGGCAAACACGATCGTCAAGGGAAGTAATCTGATGAACTCCCTTTCAAGCGAAAATATTCGGCATCTAAAAGAGGTTGTGCTCCCTTCTGAAGGCGTACAACGATTGATATCGAGGGACATGGATGAACTCCTAAGAATTGCTGCATTTGACAAGAGGTCTTTATAAATACTTTCAAGAAAGGTTTTTTTTTATAAATTAACCCAGAGGTTTAGCTTATCGCCTTAAATCCCCCCTATATATAGTTCTCGAATGTGCTGAGCCTAAGTGGCAGACTCGCACGCTTCGGAATCCTATGTGGCAAATTTTTAAGCATTGTTATTTGGCTTGGAAGGATTTTAAGTTATTTCCAATCCAAAAGTAACTAGGCTTGAAATATCCATAAATATAGTGGATATTTGTGGTCCTTTTTAATAGCATTAATTATGGTTTAATATCATTTCATATTGTAGACGTGGTTTATAAGGTATAATTTTTTCCTAATCTTTCTTATTTCATCATATTTCTTTTAGAATTATAAAGAATTTACTAACTTGAATTATAGATATATTTAGAAGTCAATAAATTTATTATTCGTTAACAATATTTTTATATATAGTATATCAAATTAATCCTGTCTTGATGATCCTCAATTTGACATCTATATTATACATACAAAATAAATAAATAATTTTATTTATCTATAAAATTAAAATTAAATTACATATTAATATTAATTCAAAAAAATAAAGTTATTTAAACACTTAACTTTATGTCATATAAATTAAAAAAATTATATTATAAGATGGTAAGTCTTGTAAGTGACGGTGTCATTTGAAATATAAATAATAATATATTTTTTCAAAAAAGTATTTAAAAACTAAAATAATTTTTGTTGTTATTATTATTTAATTTTTTAAAAAAAATTAACAAGTACCCGTGTAATACACGAGAATTGTAGTAGTTAGTAAATATACATTAAGTCTGTGATTTTTACTGGATTTTTTTTTTCAATTAAGGTAAACCTCAGGGGTATAGTTTTTGTAATTATTGTTTAATCAGTTAATGTGATCTGATGACATGTGGTTATTATGGTGCTCATTGGAATATGCTTTACGATTATTATCAGGGATGAGTTGAAAGTCTTTTCTGGTGAAGTCATTCGTTTTGGGAATCGCTGTAAGGATCCCCAGTGGCACTACTTGGACCGTTATTTCGAGAAGTAACTAGTGGCACCCGATTTTTTCTCTTTTATTTCATGTAGTTCCTCATCTCAGTGTAATATGTAGCTCACTTTTTGCAAAAAATTAGAATTGAAATGGAGCTCACGCCTCTCAAACAGTTGAAAGAAGCAGCAGAAGCTGATATGCATCAGTTGATGACGTTGGTTCAGTACACGGCTGTAAGTTATCTCACGATTTAAAGTTTATTTTGGTGCATTTGAACTTTGGAAAGTGTATTTAATATGTTTAGGTTCGCAGGAGTTGTACCATGAAATGCATGCACTGGACAGATTTGAACAGGATTGTAGGCGCAAGGCTCAAGAAGAAGAGAACTCGAGTTCTGCACAGAGAGGTAATTATTTGTGGATTTGTTATTGATTTAATCCTATTTTTATGGTTTTTCTTTTCTTTTCTTTTATTTTTTTTTTTCAATAAACTGTCTGATTTATTTTTTCATGTTTTTTATATGATCTGAAAACTAGGAGAATTCTGTTCACGTGCCAAAAGGTTTTAGATATATTATGGTTTAACTTTGTAACACGTGATGAAGGTGTCCTATTAATAATCCTTCTGCTCGATTCGTTACTTTCTCGACTGGATTTGTTGATAATTATTGAGTGGCGGCGGCTTAATCTCGATCATAATTACGTTCTTCTTTTCATTCTGCTGATGACTTTATTTGTTAAGTCCTCTTTAGGTTGTACTTGTGATTTTTCCCACATGTTTTTCTGGCTTAGTAAGTCGGTTATGAAGGTGCTGGTTCTAAGTTCTTCATATCCATGTATAATCTGATGTTCTTTTAAATGAGAGATCCATCATTTTGTTGATATTGGGCGTTCTAAAGGCTATTATCAACTGGTGGACTCTTCTTTGTGTACGTATGGCGATTATTATTATTATTATTATTATTATTATTATTATTATTATTATTATTATTATTATTTTCTCTCCTTATCTTTTACCTAAATTTATAACATTTTGAATAAAAGCCGATACATCATTCTCTCTATTTTTTACTCTCCTAATTTTTCCTTGTTGGTCCCCTGAAGGAGACAGCCTCGCAATTTTACGTGCAGAGCTGAAAAGCCAAAAGAAACATGTAAAGAGTTTGAAGAAAAAGTCATTGTGGTCAAAGGTTTTGGAGGAGGTAGTAATTTCACTACTTATTCTTCTGTAATTTATGTGTTTGTAGTTGCTTATTATAGATGTACAAATCTCACACAACTTATGTACATATATATAATAGAATTTTAATCATAACCAATTTATCTTGTGAATATCCTCTTGATATTGTTCATATTTTATAAGCATTCAGAACAAAGGGATACTTGTTAAGAAAATACAAACCTTTGTCACAGCACCGTTAAGAGTTCTGGTAACTACGAAAGATAATAGGTATTTCTACATATATTATTATGAATTCGGCCGAATCTCAAAGGTAGTTTTTCTTGATTATTCATGTAATACATTAATTTATTCTGAGCACCAAGGTAATCAGCTACAATTTTAAATTATATTAAGGTGATGGAGAAGCTTGTGGACATAGTTCATTTCCTGCATTTGGAGATCCATTCGGCATTCGGTAATAGTGGTATGAATCAATGTACTTCAAACTAGTTAACTACACTGATTTGTTTTTTTAATTTTTTTCCATGTAAAATGTAATTTGTGTATGTTAATTCATTTGTTGAACATCCTTCACATGCTACTAAACATTTGTTTTTTTTTTTCCTCTTTTTTTCTTATGTAAACAGTTATGTTTATTGTTCGGTAAATGTTTGAATGCTCTTGTATTTTCTCTTGGTTCAGTCATAGATAATATGTTATATTTTTTCTTAATAATAATTATGTTCGAATTATTATTGTTAAAGATGGAAAAACTCCAGTAAAAAACCACCACCAGAGATTAGGATCTGCCGGACTTTCGTTGCACTATGCAAATATCATCAACCAGATCGATACGCTCGTGAGTTCGCCATTCCAATTATTGTGAAGTATCTTTGGAATGTTCCTTTTAATGTTTGCCACATCTTAATAGTTTCGATTTTTTCATTTTGTCTGTAATTTTAATAAATCAGGTGACGAGATCTAATTCGGTGCCACCGAGCACTAGAGATGCTCTGTATCAAGGACTGCCGCCGAATATAAAATCTGCTTTGCGCTCCAAATTACAATATTTTCAGCTCACGAAAGAGGTACTTTTGTTTTTTTTCACGACACTTTAAATGTAGTATTTGCAATTTCGAAAAAACCGATGAAAAAATTTCTTATGTTAACATTCTACAGTTAACGGTCCCACAAATCAAAGCAGAAATGGAGAAAACACTGCAATGGCTGGTCCCAATGGCCACTAACACAACCAAGTAAAGTTGCTTTCTCTGTTAAACTCGATTGCATTTAATGAAATTAAGATTTCTCTTGGTCCCTTTTTTCATGAAAAGTCCTTGTTCTTGTTGAGTTTAATGAAGGCTGAGTTGCACAATATGCCGGGAACTCAATTTGTTTATATTATATCATATTTCGTGTCCCCTTATTGTCTTTTTCCATTATTTCTTTGTGAAAACTACAAAAGATTGAAAAAGAAAAGACAGAAAGACCCCAACCCGTTGACCCAGTAAGTGTTACAATACAAACAAATACTCAAAAGGGTCCTCAGAAAAAAAGAAGCTAACAAGTGGCGTTTATTATTGTGAGTTACATATATGGGTTGGACTTTCTATACTAAGACTACTAAACTTCAAAAGGTGACATTTTTAAATAATTCTTTACTTCTTATACGAGCTCCCGATGTCTTTTAGAGCAAATTGCTCTGTATTTGGTGCACCTTTTTGACTATGTGGCATAAAATAATGTTATAAACAGGCTCCACCACGGCTTTGGATGGGTCGGAGAATGGGCAAACACCGGGTTAGTTTGACATTTTCAAGATTCCATTTTTTTTTTTATTATTTTACAACGAGTCGAGCCAGAAATCGAGCTCGAGCTCAGCTCGTTTATCAATATTAACGAGCCGAATTATAGAAAATCACATAAAAATTCTCTTCTTGAGTCTTATCGAGCCCAACTTTAGAAAATTATATAAAAATTCTCTTCTCGAGCCGAGTCGGCTCAGCTCGTTAAGTAAACGAGCCAGAAATCGAACTCTAGTTCGGCTCGTTTATCAGTATCAGCGAGCCGAATTATAGAAAATTATATAAAAATTCTCTTCTCCAGCCTTATTGAGCCGAGTCTGGCTCGTTAACGAAACGAGAGCTGGAGATCGGCTGGTTTATCAAACGAGTCGAGCCGAACTCGACGAGCTGCTCGTTTCGTTTAACAACAAGGGCCTTTTGTATTGTACAATTACTATTGCAAGTTACTAAATTTACTCGTCCCAAATCAAGATCCGATATGAGCCGCCAGCCAGCTGGCCACACGGACCTCCTCCGAATCGAGACCCTCCACCACGCGGACAGGGAGAAAACCGAGGCCCACATACTCGACCTCGTGGTATGGCTCCACCACCTCATAGCCCAATCACGGGCCTCCACCGGGCCCGGGCCCAAATCCCCCATCCGCTCCCCCAACCAGAAGGCCCTCCTCCAGCTGTCGCCCCAAAAGCCTGTTTCGCCCTCAACGGGCCTTTCGGTCGAAGACCAACTAATGCTCCATGCCGTTAGCAAACGTAAGCTAACGCCCGGCATTAGCAAAAGCCAAGAATTCGATACTTCAAAAACGAGGCTTCTGTGCAAAAACCACCGGCTGAGCAGAAGCAGCAATCACTCCCCGACTCGCGAGAATTGGGACCCGTTTTCGGTCAGGAGGCCGTTTTCTGTCCCAGTCATCGATTTCGAAATCGACCGAATCAAGGCTTTGGATGTCATTGACAGGGTCGATATGATCTGAGGGGCAAAATGGTAAAAAAGACGGATCTTTACCGGGTTCGGTTCGGATTTTCGGGTTCTTTGTATAGAGTGACAGTAAATTTGTTTTTGTTGGCTGTCTGTGTTGTTTTGTATTTGCATAATGTGAGGTTTGTAGCTTGTCGTAAATGGGAAGTTGTTGTGTTTTTAGTTTTTAGTTTTTAATGCGTTCTTTGAGTTTCAGCTGATGTATTGCTTTCAGGTGGTAGAGTTAAAATTTGGAATTTTACCCATTTTTTTTTTTTTTCTTTTCCCAATATATTTCTCCTTTTTGGGTTATATTTACTGTCATAGTTTTTTTCTTTTCCCAATATATTTCTCCTTTTTGGGTTATATTTACTGAACTATGACAGCTAAAGCTATAATATTTTCGGTAATTTTCAGTACATGTTTCTATTGAAGTTGAGTTGAGTAGATCATGTTAATCTTGGTGTTCGTTTAATAAACGAGTCAAAGGCTTGCCCAACGTTCAGTTTAGGCTAGGCTGGGCTTGACAACTAAACATAAAACGAGCTGTTTGAGTTGTAAAATAAAATCCTTAAAAAATAAAAGAAATAAAAAATGAGTTATTTGCAAGCAAGTTCGATTAATTTATTTAATGTACGAGTTCGATCGGCTGTTAACTCGATTTTTATAATTAAACTCACAATTTAACTACTATTCTAATTTTCCCTTGATTTTTTTATATAATATTACGTGGAGGTGATAGCATCTACTTCATGTAATGACATCAGCAGCTAAAAATATGGACTTTGTAATTGACCTACACAATTTTGCACTTTCGGCGAGTGATTTACGGAGACTTTCAAAATTATGGTCTTTTATTTGTCCTTTAGTAGTTCTACATCTACTTCTATCATGTTCACACGGGTTTTGCTTAGATTACAAGGGTTTTACTAAAATATATATATATATATATATATATATATATTACAATTTTTTTTTTTTAATATAGCATATTACTACATCTTAATGTACTTTATAAGGGCTTTTACAATGCTAAACATTTTATAATTACAGCAATTTATTAAAATTTAAGTTATGATGGGTGGTGATCTTTATTTAGATCATTACAAAAATAAACACCCTTCGGTTTTAGGTTGATTTTTTCTGTTTTTGTTTATTTATCATTTTAAACTATGTTCAGTTGTATACTCATGATAAATCTTAGAGTATGAAAAGGTTATATAATAAAAGACAGATAAAATAGCAAAAGTATGAAAATAATAGTAATTATAAAGTATTGCAGCTTTAGACCATCTATGACTATGAGTACTGAGTATACCCCATAGACTTAATTAGTTGATTAATTCATTTGTTCTACTTGTCCTATAAGAAAATAATAAAATTTCAATGAAAATATTCCAGCTGATCATATATATATATTTCAGTGAAATTCCAACAACAATCTCAATCAATTTCAATGCTATTTTTTAAATTTTCCAACTGGTTCATACATAAACTCTAATAAAATATTTTGTTTTAATAAATTTTTCATTAAAATTTTCGTTGAATTTTTACGATTCCAACAATAAATTTTTCAATATTTGAAATATGACTAAAAAAATTCAACGAAAATTATTAGGGATAATCGCAATAAACCGTTGGAAAAAATGACTGTCGGAATCATCGATTTTTAACTAAAATTTCGATGGAAAACTCATTTCAATATTTTCGTTGGAATTTTCCAATGAAATCTATATCATTATAATATTCATTGAAATTTTTATTGGAACATTTTACTATTAAATTTTTTGTTAAAATCTGATATTTTTATTGTAGTATTGTTTTTTAGTTTGTAATTTCAATTATTTATTAACATAAGTCTATTGTTTCTAAAAAAAATAGCAATTAAAAAAGAACGTAATATCTACATAATAATTTAGGAATATAGGAATATGGATAGTGATGATAAAATTCAAATATGACATTCATTCTTATATTTTACGTGTGGATAATGAAATTAATAAAAATGTATTATTATTATTATTATTATTATTATTATTATTATTTTTATTTTTTTTTT